TTTCGTATGTAGCACGTAAAATGTCTAAATCCATAGGAATAATGTTAAGAGCCAGTTTTTATCTACTTAAGAAATCCTTACTCACTTCGTACTATTCAATTGTTTACCCGTATATCCAATATTGTAATATTGTTTGGGCTTCAACGTATCCAAATAATCTTCATCGTATCAATATACTGCAAAAGCGAACAATTAGAATTCTAAATAAATGTAAATTTGATGCACATACAGAACCTTTATTTAAGAACTGTTCTATCCTTAAAGTTAATGATATTCTTCCATTTCAACTGGGTAAATTTATGTACTCTTATCGCAGTGGTCTTTTACCAAATAAATTTAATGACATGTTTCTATCAAATTATCAAGTCCACTCATATAATACAAGGAGTGCGATGGCCATTAGAACTCCATTGTGTCGTACAAATATCCGTCAATTTTCTGTAAGATTTCAGGGTCCAAAATTTTTTAACTCACTACCTATTGATATTATTAATATTACTTCTTTTGTTTCTTTTAAAAGAAAATTAAAAAATAATTTATTATAAAATAAATAATTACCTTATACATTAAAATTATTTTTTTTCTCAAAAGAATGTCATTCCTTTTTAGATATGTTAAATGATCTAGGTCTTGATAAAAGACACCAATATTTCACTATCAGGAAAATTTTGTCTATCGCGATTAGGACAACATATTATATATTTTGCTGCAGAGATAAGGACTGGTTAAATCCGGAATTACTGAACATTTAAGAATACTCATTATTAATATATAAATATTAAGTAGGTTCAAGTAGTCAATTATAAATTACCTAAATTAGTGAGATTTATAATTGTATATATACGTATATAATTTCAATAAAGTTTCCATTATTACAAGGCCTGAGACGGCATTATTTGGACAGTTTGGGCTATGATATTGTGAATGAAAAATCATTTTCGTACAGTAAGAAATCTTCAAAGCTGCTGTAAAAGATTTACGACGACAAGGTCTTGGTTCTGTTAAACACCACGTCCCAATAACAAGAGCTGATATGACAAAACTATACAGCGGCGACACTGTTGTGTTTTACATGGATACTCCAAATGGCCTCCTGAACAAAGTGTGTTTTGAAGTGATGTATTTTTTATGCCGACGGGGGCAGGAAAATCTGAGAGCGATGACTATAGAAACGTTTGAGCTATCAACCGTCAGCACAGGCAAGAGATACATCTTCCAAAAGACGGATGAACTTGACAAAAACCATCGAGATACCACGACAGGAACTGTGACACAAGGAAGAATGTACGAATTACAAGGTATGCGCTAGTATATGGATGCATTTTATTTGTATGATTTATGAATGAATGAATAGTAAAGTTTGAATTTATTCTATTTTTAGGAAACCCTGCTTGTCCTGTAGAATCATTTCTGAAGTATAAAAGTAAATTGAACAAACATATTAATGCTCTTTGGCAACGACCACTTGACAGCTTCGTACCAGAGGAAGAAACCTGGTTTTGTAAGGCTCCGCTTGGAAAAAAACACTTTGGCAAATATGATGGCAACTATTTCTCGTCAACGGGAACTATCGCAAAGATATCCAAACATTCTATTCGTTCAACAGCAATAACTGTTTTGGATAAAGCCGGTTTGTTTCTTAAAACTGAATAAATATATCATAATGCAAGTTTCTATTTGCATATTATTAACCTGATTTTCTCTTAACAGGATACGAAGCTAGGCATATCATGGCTATCTCAGGTCATAGGAACGAAGCAAGCATCAGGTGATATTCTGCGCACGTATCAGAGGAGCAGACGCGTAGGATATCCGAATCTTTAACCCTTGCCACTGCCGACGATAGAGCTGTTGATGTCTATCAACGTCCTGCAACATCTGCATCGCCTGCAAGATCGCCCATACTGAATGATTCTGACCTTCCTTCTACACCCAATTTAAACCAAATAATGAATACAGTCTTATCACCTGTAATGTCCACATCGACGGACGTCTTCAAATACAACAGATTTGATGGCTGTACGATTAACATTGACGTTAAAAAATAACAATTTAACAGCTTAATTATATACACTTAAACCTTAATTTATTCATCCTTACGTTTACGTTTTCTATTACATTACATTGTCTTAATAAAATGATGATTCAACTATTTTTTCTGCGGCGTATTTTTTCGGTATAATATGTCATTTATAGACCCTCCGCTCGGGGGATTTGCCAAAATATTACCCTCAGCGATGATATTTCCCTCGGGGCAAGCCCCTCGGGAAATATCATCGCTGAGGGTAATATTTTGCCGATCCCCCTCGCTCCGGGTCTATAAATGATAAATATCTCCCCCCCCTCCACTTATCGAGCTGGCTACGCCACTGTCTATAACATACAATATATAAAAATTGGTTTAAAATTAATATGGCGGCAAGGGTTTTCCCAACAGTCGGGATAGTTTTTTATTTGTTTGAAGTTAATCTTTCTCTGTTTTAAATAACTTTTAAATTGTTCTTGAACATATGTTTGACACTGTAAAATAATAAAGGAATCCTACCTTTCAAGTTAATTAAACACAAAATGTCGTGGTTTCGAACTAATCTTTTTGGAACAGCATTATTAATATTGCGTCAGATTTACTTGTCAGCCAGCCAATCAGAACGCGCGAAAGCTAATTTGGTATGCAAAATTTATACTAATTAAAAATATACATGAAAAGTTTATGCTCACTGTGCTCTCATCTACGAAATTTAAGCATTGTTTTAATTTCTTATATTGTTAACAAAGCTGTTCAGTGTATGTGCTTCATGTACTTAAAGTGTTATAATTGTGTACGATTTTCTATTAAAAGTGCGCAAAAAGTCATCAAATAAGTGAAAATTGCTACTTCCTAGTTTCCAGGCTCTGCTCTTGTTTTGTTCCTTGCACTGCAGTTATTGAACCATTTAATTCATTTCTGCTATATATTATTAGTATAATATTGCTGGTTCTCAGGGCTGACTTCACTACTGAAGGGTGCAAATAGGTACGCAACGCGCACATGTATCTGCGAAATTTGATTCACAACTTGTATTTTCTTGAAATGAAATGCACTTAATAATGAAGATGACATGGGACAATTGAAATATTTCATCACTTCTTATCAAATAAGATTTTAAAGTTTACTCCCCCCCTCCGCCGAGAAAACTTACGGATAATTACGCTGTCAGGAAATAAAAATTACATGCGAACAATACTCGAAGTGTCTATACATCCGGCAGCCGGCTATTTAGTGAACTGTCAATTTTCAATCCATACTCATCGAACTTTCATCAACTTCGTTGCAATCATATGAAGCAAAAGTTCTGTCACTAGCTTGTTTTGTGCTATGTTGTTGTTTTTTGCTATGTTAACTGTTGAGTAACATATATAAAATATTTGAGGAACATGCATTACTGTAGCAAAGTGGTCAATCATATATGGAAGACCACTGAATAATAGAGAATGTTTTGAAGATCATGAGTAAAATATATAATTCAATTCCAGGTTTCCAGTCCTGTGCACAGTTAATGATATACAACACTGTTCGAACGTTTAACACAGCATATCAACAACAAAATTTGTGTTGTAGGAGAAAATTGGCTTACTTATATAAGCTCGTCGCTGATTGGTACAAGCTAACACACGGTTACACTAGCAAGACGACAACAATATATCTACATTCGCAGATACAAAAATCATCAAAATTTAAAATATTTAAAAGTATTGAATAGTTAGCACTTATTAGTCGAAGTTGAGGTGATTAATGGGGATGAGTATAAATTTTGCATATCAAATGAGCTTTCGCGTGTTCTGATTGGCTAATTGACTATTGAATCTGACGCATTACTTACCAGCAGAATAGTAAATAATGCTTTTCAAAAAGAATTATTTTACAAATTTGGTTTCAAAATCGATGAATTTTGAAAAAAATCGTCCTCAAAAACGAAAGAAGCACAAGATGATGTATGTAATTTGAAAGGTAGGATTCCTTTATTATGTTACTGTGTCAGACATATTCGCGGACGTTACTCTGAGTGTATATCCACACCGGGCAAGCTTGAGAATTATGCCTGGCCACGGTGGGAATCGAACCTACGACCTTAGGAATACTAGCTCAATGCTCTGCCAACTGAGCTACGCGACCAGGTCGGTTTTGTATATGTGATATTCCGGAACTGAGTCTAGTTCCTTCAATATCAATGCAATCTAGTAGTACATAACACCAACACAGAAAAAAAATCATGATTACTAGATTGCATTGATATCGAAGGAACTAGACTTAGTTCCGAATTATCACATACTCGAACCGACCTGACTGCGTAGCTCAGTCGGCAGAGCATTGGGCTAGTGTTCCAAAGGTCGTAGGTTCAATTCCCACAGTGGCCAGCCATATTTTCAAACTTGTCCGGTGTGGATATACACTCAGAGTAACATCACAAACATGATATTAACCTCAGTACATAACATCAACACAAAAAAATATTCACGAACAATTTAAAACTTACTTAAAACTCCAAAACATTCACTTCAAACAGATAGCAAAAACTATTCCGACTGTTGGTAAAAACCTTGCCGTGATATTCTTTCAAAACCATTTTGTTTTGTATTTCATTATTGCGTGTGACAGAAGTGTCTAATAAGAAATATTTCAAATTCGAGTTGGCGTTTTAGACGTAGTTTCTAACGAGTTGGCATTTTAGACGAGGTACCTCTCGCCATTGTTCGTGGCACTTTGGGATTTGGAAGCCAAATCTAAAACACCAACGAGGATTTGAAATGACTTATCACACATCATTAGACATTCATAGCATTGAGGAAGTAACATTAGGGAATTAAGTTGTTCAATGAGGCGAATGTGTAACGAAGGAACGAATTAAATGCGTTGTTGTTGTTGTTGTTGTTGTTGTTGTTGTTGTTGTTGTTGTTGTTGTTGTTGTTGTATTCGTTCGCCTTCGAAGGAAGCATGGCATCTAGTTGCAAAAAGAGGAGATTTCGAGATCCTCAAAGCGTGGAAAGAAGCATTGACAACGTCCAAAATGCTATTCTACAAACAACGCGTTATAAAAATCGTTGGGGGAGTTCGTATATTTTAAGAAAGGCAAAGTTGACGAGAATGTAAAGTAGTCATGTATGAGAGCAATCGTTTCTGCTTAAATTTACAGAATTTGCAAAATTCGGGGACAGATTTGTGTTCAATGACGACAAGTCTGATTTAAAAAGCAACATTCAGAAGACGCTATATATATATATATATATATATATATATACATATATATATATATATATATATATATATATATATATATATATATATATATATATATATATATATATATATATATATATATATATATATATATAATGGAATATAATGGAATATAATGGAAGTTATTTCTAAATACTGCTTACTGTATTTAGAAATTATTCTAAACATAGCAATTAAATATATTTGCACCCTTTTGTTTTCCCCTAAATTTCCCTATTGTTCAAAGCCCTCCCCACTTGAAGTAATTAAAGTCCTGGTCTAGTAGTCCTGGTCGGATTTTCTGACCACCCCGATTTTTGAGTAGGGGCAGCCAGAACGGACACGTGACACTGCCTATTTTCACGTGATTGGAAATAGAGGCGACATATTTTGTGTATCCAATGCACACTGCATAGAACGTTATTTTGAAGGGTTGACCGCTATATATCGACATATAATTATTATATGCTATTTGTACGCCAGGGTTGGGAAAAATCAAAGAGTAAAAATGTTGCAGAAGCTTACTTAGACATACAAATAACAGCAAATCATTATACTTTTTATGATGTGAACAACTAATTGCTATAGTAATGCATGGTTGCACACATATATAATAAACTAAACACTGTTCCAGAACACCGCGTGCACTCCATTTTATATCGTTCCAGAACAGTGTTCCAAATGTTCTAATTAAAACAGTAAATGGAGCAGCCTGGAGTATCCAGATAGATATACACGTGATGTAAATTAAACGATGACCTTGGCCAAAATGCTATGAATATCTAATGATGTATGATAATGGCAGTTTTCCGTCTAGTTCAGTTCTATGGTCAAGTCTAGTTGACAGTTATAGCTATGTATATTTCATATACTTCTTTATTTGGGCCCCGTTTAACTGGTGCCCCAGGGCAAATTGGCCCTCCGCCCCTCTATGTGGCCTTGACAGCACCTGATGTTAGGATTGTCTATGCCAGCATAGTTTTATAATCACATGCTTGAAAAGAAATATTTTTTCTGGTCAAATTAAAGGCGGCTTGCGCGTGACAAACCTCTAGAGGAGTTCCCAGAGCATGCACCCACAGAACATTTTGTAATCTAGGATCTCTTAAACCATTTCCTGCAATGTGAGTGACATTCTATATAATTCTAAAGATTATACATTAATTACAAAAAGTTAAGTCTCATTCACTCTACCTTCCAAGCTCATAAAGAGTTGTTTGGCGAGAGGCTTTGTTCATCTGACGAACCTGAAGTATATTAGTGCGGACGTTCGATAATTTGAAAATTTCAATTTCATTCAAATTATTCTGATTCGAAATGTTTTGATTATTCCCGTCAAGCGTTAAGGCAATATTTTTAGTTTAGTGTCTCTGCATGGTCATTGCCTCCTTTTCTTGTTAGTCAAAAACTTATCAAAGCAAATTATATTACTGTGCATTTTACATTTTATCACTGCACAGATTGGTTATAAATGCGCAAATCGGTTATCACTGCGCACTAAAATTAGGTACGCTTAAAGAAGTTATCATACCCCTTCAAATATATATGTGCAATATATGTCTCTATTGTTATCCAAATCGTAAGTCATTATGTTTACCGTACGATCCGTTATTAAAAGCTATCATCTACTATACGGTTTTATGCGTATCTTTAACCTATCGACTTAAAATCTGTGTCTACTTTACCAAGACTTGAGTTTTGTTCCATTTTAGTGCATTTTCCTTTCGTTCTGGTTTCCTACAAATTCTGTTAAAATCCTTCTTACCTCTCAAGTAAAACCTCCTGCTTATCGAACTGGACAATGGAACCTTGCTCTAACCCAATAATTCTCTCACATTTTTTAATCGTATTTCTACGATGTGAGATTATTATTACTGTGTGATCTTTAAGTAACTGATGAATAACGTTCTGTATTTGTTCAGCTGTTTCCTTATCTACTTTTCCTGAAGCTTCATCAAAAATTATTATTTTGTTTTGTTTCAATAAAATTCTTGCCAAATGAAACAACTGCCGTTGACCAACACTAAAATTTGAACCACCACCAGTGCATAGATGGTCAAGCTTTTCTGGTAAACTTCGAACAAGAAAACTTCATTTGCATCTGATCCAAAACTTTCCATATTTCAGTATCATCGAATTCTCCTGTTGGATTTAGGTTCTCTCTGATAGAACCGTTGAAAAGCTCAGGAGACTGAGAAATCACAGAAATCCGTTGACGAGTAGATTGCAGATTTAAATATTGGATATCGGCATTATCTATGATAATATTTCCCTCAATTTCGCCAATCCTCATGAGCGCAGCAATCAGGGAAGATTTGCCAGCACCTGTCCTTCCTGCAACACAAATCTTTTCACATGGATTGATTTGAAATGATAAATCTTTCAATGCTTTAGGTCCATTTTCATAATATCGCAATGAAACATTTTTGAACTTTATTTTGCCTAAATCTGGCCATTCTTTACGCGGTTGTTCATTGATCTCGTGTCCTTTCTCTGGTTTGATTTCAGTGTAAGCCAGAATTCGTTCAGCAGAAGTCATCTGAGCTTGCAGCTCGACAGCATTACGAAGAAAGCCTGCCACGTTTAATGTAGTTTGAAATGAATATATGATGGCCACGGAAGCAATAACTAAAACATAAAAAGCAAGCATTCAGCGCATTTGTTTCAACTACCTAATCAGTGATTGAGGTGATCCAACATTTGGACACACACATTTTTTCTCCAAAAAAAATTCTCGTGTCTAAGCGACCTTCGATGACGTACTTAAATTAGAAAATGGTGCTAAATTAACCTAAAAGAAAACAGTGTCACCGCTAAACAGATCTCAAAAAAGTATGAACGATACACATGCAATCCAAAGTATTTGTGCGACTCTAATGAACTACTTTGCCGTTTTGCAAAATAAACGACTTAAGGTGGCTCCCTAAAGTTACAGTCCATTTTAAAACATTTATATAGATCAGACGTCATCCTCGCGACTCGTGCATGGAATCTTCGTGGCCCGGTAAATGTCTTGAAACAATCCTCGGGAAGTTGTTTTTGTATTTTTATCTGCAAAGAAAACGCCAGCTTTTTATTATAATTCTAAACGTTTCAAAATTTGAACAGTACGTATCTGTCGTTAACTAGTTTTTAACTTACTTTCATTGTATTTATATACTTAAAACGCGGTTCAGTACTGTATTCCACTATGCTCAGAATGTTCAACAACAGTGTGACTGACTGAAATAATATTTTATACTGTCTTCAAGGCGCTCCTGAACTGTCAATGAAACTTACGTTAGTCCTGCCTTTCAACTCAGTTCACATGTAGTTTCAAATCTGCTAAATCCAATAAAGCTATAGTGCAGACAGTTGCGAGTTGTTTTATACGAAAAGTCAAACTCTACTTGAATGTTTTGGAAAGTTTTCACACCGATTTTCACAACAAAACTAAATTTAAGAAACGTTGGAATAAATCAATGGGTTATTGGGTCCTCAATTTTTCGTATTTTGAACATATACCTTTTATATTTATAAAATATCTGTAAGATACATATAAGCCAAAAACTCAAAGTGAAAATTGCTAAAAAAGCCAACATAAACCGTACGCGTTTCGTGTTCCTCACGCATTATAATTTACACACATGCGCAAATAGTGATCATGTCGAATCGATATTTTGTCACATCAACAGCTTCAACTGGACTTTAGGACTATTTTTACCGTGTTTCTTCCGCTGAAATTGTTTTAAACTTTGCTCATTTGCCAGGCAGGACGATTAGTCAAACATACCAAAATTTCAAGAAATTCTACAAGACGGATTAATCGATTAAAAAATCAGAAAAATTAACCGAAGGAAAAAAGATATTGCCGTTTGATTGTAAAATTAGACAATAAAAGTGCAAAGAGATGAAACGTCATGGTTGCCAACACTGTTCCTATTTGTTAATATATCGACAGCATAAGACTTCTTAACTTTTCCTGGAAATGATTATATTGTCCTGTCGTAACTATATTCAATATAAATTTGATTGAAAATGAAGGTTACCTAAAATACTTAAAATTTTAGAAAACTGTAAGGAGCCACCTTAATCCAGAATATTTTGAGACTGGTGATTGTAACATTTTGAATGTAGGCTCATGTTATTTTGGGGGATGTGACGTTGAGAACATTGTATAAATCGCCGTACAGACAGGAAACTTTTCCTTGACAATTTTTTTTCCTGCTCTTGTGCACTGCCAAATATTGACAACATTTTTTGACCGAAGAGCCTTGTTTCAAAGCCATAATTATGCTTGGGTGTTTAGACAAGGAAAACTTGTTCGTGCGCACGAATAGCCGGCGTACAGGAGTTTATTCAGGTTGGTTTATTCAGGCCGGCATGGTTTTTAATTTTAGGAGACTTCGTTCGCCCAAGAACGAAGCTTGCTGATTGGAGAATCATGATCAAATGGAAACATATGATTGAGGAGGTTCTGCATGTGTTTATTAGGCTACTGATGCATGCATGTCTGCAAAAAATTTGTTGATGTTGATTTATCCCCAAATCTTGGGGGCGCATGGCTATGGTTCACCGTTCATTGGTCGTCATCCTGACTGATTTCAAAATATGTAGCGGACTATCGTAAATAGCGAACACTGATCGGTTACATTTGAAATTTGCACTATAATGACTGCATGACGACAGCGAAATAACAAACATTTCTTGGAAATACAGTATATTGTATTTTTGCAAAATTCGGTAAATTTCAAAACCTTTTTGAGAAAAAAGCCCAACAACGTCTAAAAGAAGGGAGTAAAGTCGCCGACGTTAATGAAGTACTTACCTTGTTTTTACAATTGATATATTATTTGCTTTATAATTGCTTTAAGAACTGATATACGATCGTTGTGTATATAAGTGAAAAAAGACTGCATATAATTTCAGTGCATTTTTATTATGATTACCTTTTTATTATATTAAAATATTTAATTAAAGAGGAAAGCAACGTTATTTTCATTATTTCAAACTCAAGTTTATAGATAAAAGCAGTTTAGTCTTAAGAACCTTTTTAAAACGTTTTGCGAAGTGCGTTTCTGGTTGAATTTTATATTAAAGTGAATAACGTATAATAACATACCTAGCATATATATGTTTGGAAAATTGAAAATTTTATAATTAAAAGTGATGAGTTGGGAGGGGGAGGGTTTCAATTTTAAAACTATTTAATAAAATTATCGTGTTACGATGACAACTACTTTCAATACTGCATGTTTGGAAAACATAATGACTTTGTCAGTAAGGCGAGGGTTTCTGCATGCATGTATTTTCTAGTTTATGAATATATTCGACTAAATACGAACAAAAAAACATGCATGTTTTGGGCCAATTTAATGGAAGAAATATTTTGGATGTACTACATGTCAGACTGTCGGGTTCAGTTAAGCTGCTAATTCGCCTGGAGTGTTAAGCATGCATTGAGGCAGCGTTTACACTGTACCGTTTTCGTAGCGTTCTCGTATTGTTCGAGAGAACTAGACTATTGTCTTGCGTTCCCTTGAGGATTAAGAACGATACGAGAACGCTGAGTAAACAAATTGAGTAAACGAAAAGTGGTCTATATCAGAAGCAGTTTAAAAATACTTTAATAATAATATTGATCTGGTACAAATTATATTTAGATATATAAATATAATTTGACTTGTGGCTTCCGCCATCTTGGAAAATTAGTCAGCCGGCCTTTCCGTTTGTTTCCCACCTATTTTCATCCTCCCCCCGACATTTTCACAACCCTAATTTTTGAAAGGCCTGCGTAGGATGTACCCAGAATATTTTTTTATGTTTTGTGAAATTTGGATAGAACAATTAGCGTTTGTGAGTTTTTTAAATACCTAAATTAGCACACGTCCTTCGGACTCGTGCTTTATAAAACTTTATCGATAAAGTTTGAGTTTGAAGTAAAACGATTTCAAATTCTCGCATGCAAATTTCACTTTGCTTTATTTTTTGTTTAAACAATTTTAATATAATAAAAAAGGGTATATAAATAAAGATACACTGAAATTATATGCTGTCTTTTTTCATTTAAAATATACGAAACGATCAGCTTTTAAAGCAATTGTAAAGCAAACACTACATTAATATTTAAAACAAACTTATACTCTCGTTAACGTCGGCGCCTTTGGCTTTGTTCGCTTCTTTAAGCATTTTTTTTCGCTTTTCTTTTCAAAAAGATTTTGAAATTTACAATTACAATCTTGCAAAAATGAAACATATTAGCACGAAATCATCAAATCACCTTAATATATTACGAAATGTTTGCTAATGTTTGCTAACCGACTAGAGGACACAACATTCTTGATCAAATCCTTACAAATATGCTCCCTCTCTTTGACACTGTTAGCCATCTCCCCCCAATCGGACCACCAATGTCATCTAATCAAGCCCATTAAAAGACAGAAAACTCCGGTTACGTAAAAAAAAATTAGATTGATGAAACGAGAAAATTTAAATGACCTCTCCCTGAATATGGCTTCTGAAGATTGGACTACTGTATATTCAGCACTGGAGGTGAATGAGAAAGTATCAGCTTATAACTCCATTATAATCATGATGCTTGACGAGTTCTTACCTAAAAAAACCATCAGAGTACATCACTCTGATAAACCGTGGATCACTGGTAATATTAAAATGCAAATCAAAGCTTGTCAGAAAGCCTTTTCTCGTGGTGATCAGCCAAGATACACACAACTATGCGCAGGGGCGTCGGAAGCAATGTGAAGCGGAGTGGCAGCCATTTCAGAAGGGAACTTGCTTCTCAGCCATCATTTTTCTGGGCGGCAATATTTGTTAAAACTTTATTGTATGGATACCCGATTACGCGTGGCTATTGTGGGTGGGCAAACTTCGACATTAATTTTGAACAATTTTATTTGTTGCACCATGTTAAGGGCGCAAAATGAAATCAGTAAACGGACGTATATTGCCTGATTTAACATTAATCAGGGGCCTCGGAACCGGGGGCAATGGGGGCATGTGCCTTCCCACATTTTAAAAGTGAAAAAATGCCCTTTTGGGGGCTAGAAAGAAAGTGTCTTTTTGCAGTAGCAAAGACTCTGTAAAGGCCATTTCCGACGTTATAGGGACTCCATGGATATTTTACAAAAAATTTCGTTTGGTTCGTGAACGACATAAAATCGTTTGATTTTGACTGATAATTATAGAAAAGTAATTCAGCCGTCTCCGGCATTAATTTTACTATCACTGGTTAAAATTAAGCAAAGATTGCTTAAACATTGCTTAAAAATAGTTGTAAATTCCAATTCAGGTGAATACCGCACAAATTTCGAAGCGCAATTCTGGTCAAAAAGGGCAACCTGTTGCCCCCGTGCCGCCCCCGCACTGTTTCGGCAACGGGGGCAGTTGCCCCCGCTGCCCCCGTGGCTCCGGTGCCCATGACTATGCGAGAAAGTGGCAAATCTTATAGCTAAAGCTAAAGCCACCTACTATCGGTCCAAGGCCTCAGAATTTCGTACCTCGAATCAATCGAAGTGGTATAACTGTATCTACTCTTTAGTA